AAACGCCGGCTGCCATGCGCGCTACCTCTGCCCCCGAGGAAGATGAAGATAAGCCCCTTTCTAGCCGGCCAGGGAGGGCTTGCTGGGCAAACAGGCGCTGCTGTGTGAAACGGGCTGGAGGCGTCGGTGGCCGGCCCGAAACGTAGATGCGTTTGCGTCCCCTGGAGCCTGACAGCCTCTGGATCGCTCTGTGCACGTACGGTTCGTTCAACGGTGGGTGCACCGATGCAATGATGCGCCGCTCAAGCTCCAACAGCTCCTCGTCCGACCCGGCACGGGCAATGGGCGCGAAGCATAAGGACGCAGCCGCTGGAACATGTCCACGGAATATAGCAGACAGCAACACCATATATGGCTGCTGGCGGCACGATCCTGGCCGGAGGCAGCAATGAAGGTGACGACGGACCCTCGCCCGAAAGTCTATTGTTTTACCTATGTAGAAGACTTTGTGAAACGGACTCCAAATAAGGTAGACCACGAACCCAGACTCCAGAAGGTAGTCGGAGGGCGGCCACGTGGACCCCGGCAGGGAAAATGCCAAAGAACGGAGTTTGCTCAAGTACTGGGTGGTGGAGGCCATGAGGAAGTCGGACGTGATAGAGAGGGTGGTTGAATGAAGGGCAAATATGCACTTCCAATCCAAAACTTGGGCAGCATAGTGCTGCTCTAGAGCACGGCGGACCAATGCCAGTGTGGATAGGAGGCAAAACCGGATAGCAGAGCAAAGCGAAACACACGGCATCCCGTCGACATGCGTATCCCAAATCCCACCACATGCGCCGTCCCCTTGGGCCCGCATTCGGGCCTGTAGTCGAATCTCGTGGCCGACTGCTCGCGCCTTGACGGCGGCCAGAAGTTGCGCGATATCTCCGGCTTTGGTGTCGTCAAACTTCAAGCCCAATTGGTCGACCTTCTCTTTGAACACTTTCAGCACATTAGCCGGAACCTTCTTCTTACCTCCCTTGCCCTTGCCCTTCTGGCCGGTGATCGCGTCCAAAGCCTTCTGGTACGCCTGGAACTTATTACGCAATGCCGGTGGGTCGTCTTCACCGGGGATTTTTTCATCGAGCGCCCACTCTATCGTCTTCAAGCCCCTGCTTTGGTGTAGACGTTGTACCTGGAACGCCTTGAGGTCATCGAGCGTGAACTTGAGGGCCTGCTCGCTGGAGACCCCGGTGCTTGGGGCGAGGGCCAATATCGCCCTGGATGAAGCCGGTTTGAATTCCGGGATCGCCGCGTCAACCTCCACATGGGCTTGACCAGGGTCGGCGATGGTAGCGGCCACCCTGCGCATCATCGCCGGGAGCGACTCGTCCTGGGCCCCGTATTCCGCCCGCTGGTACGGGCTATTGGCCTGAATCCAATGGAGGAATGTCGAGAAGTTGAAAGTATCAGAATCCAAGGGCACGTAGGGGATAAGCTTCTGCAGATTCCTGCGGGCCTGCGACCTCATGATGCAAGGGCAGAAGTCCTCGGTGTTCTGGCTAATGTCCTTCCTCACTTTCGCCGTGCAGAGGGCCGTGCAACGACGAAGCATTTCAGCATTGCACTTTTTGCGGGCTTCCATGAACTCCTCCGAGCCGAAGGGCAGGTCGGGGTGAAAGTTCGGAGGGAGGCCGTTCGCAATTCCCACGATCCTGGCCCCGACGCGGTCGTCATCGAAGACGAGGTGCTTAATGTCTTCATCAGACAACTGGTCTACGATGTTCTTGGCCTTCTCGAGCTGACTGACCGGGCGTTCTGGACGCGGGCTGGCTGCCCGGGGCCGCGCGGTCGAGTCCCGCGGACCACCCTGCCGCACCGAGGACGGAGCGCCAGAGCGCGGACGAGAGGACGGATCGACCGAGTGTGGGCGAGGTGGTGGTTGCGGGAGATCACGGCGCTGATGCCGCCTCGGCGTGAGGAGGAGCGGCAAGTGCGCTGCGGAGGACGATTTTGGTGTGGTTGCTGGACTCGCCGCCGACGGACAATCACGAGCAAGATGACCACGGATACCGCATTGCGGGCACAACGGGCCTTCTGGAACCCTATGGTGGCTCCTGGAGCGGCCGCTGGCCCTATGATGGGCAGGGGTCCGCTCCATGTCCCGAGCCCTATGGTGGCTCGTGCCCGTGTCCCGCGTCCGTGCCCTATGGTGGCTACGGCTTCTGCTGCGACGCTCCCGTGGACCCTCGTAACGAACATCGTCACGAAGACCTCCCCTAGAACGTTGCTGCTCCCCGCCGCCTGCCATGGCAAGTAGGCCGACCGAGAATCGGTTGCGCCCGCCGGGACTTACAGAGTGGTCGCAAACTACCTGGAGGGAGCCTGAAAGGGCAGCAGAAAACAAAGAAGGCACCAAAACAACCCCTCCCGCCCTCCCCCTCCCAAGTTCCATGAATTCGATGAGGTCAATGTGGGGGCACTGGGCGGCCAGCAGGGGAATCAAGTCCCGTTCACGGCCCACGCTGGAGAGAGGTTGAAGTAACAAATGAAAAGGTCCATGAGTGTTGCAATCAGT